GGTACCAATCCGATATAATAACTTAAATGAATCAAATATTGGCCATTACTGGATTATATTGGACTGTATCTTAATCCTCCAATATAAACACATTGATCTCTTTGCTCCAGCATTTAAATCCAACAATGCATGTAAACTGCTCACAGTTATTTCATTTATGTACTTATATTTCACCTTTGCTTAAAGCTATAGTAGAGGATGTTATTTATCCGAGTGGATCACCAAAATAAGTAGCCCTCCTAAAAATTTATCATTCTGGTGATATGTTTACGTAAGGCTGACCTACGTGCTCGTCCCCATTTACACTTACTGCTGGTGAGTTAGCGTTGTTGCGACCGGGACATTTGGGAGATGGCCATTGACTTTTTGTCTGGAAAATATGAGCAAGTGTAAATGTAACCAAAATTGTCTCCAGCCAAGAGTTTTCTCCATGGCTAAAACCAGGGAACATACATGAGGCTCAGTGGATTTTGTGCAAGAAGTCATTCAAGCTCGGAACGATGGGAATTAAGGCAGTGGAGTCGCACATGCGAAGCACGAAACACAAAGCGTCAAAATGGAGTTACAGAGAAACAGCCGGTATTTCTCAGTTTAGTTCCTAGACCTACGTGCTCGTCCCCATTTACACTTACTGCTGGTGAGTCTGACATAGTGAAAAAATTACAAATCTTTTCTTGGAAAGTGTGCTTGTATGAGTGATGCAAACAGCACCTTTTAAACGTAGTGTGCACAAAGAGAAATGGGCTCATGCATGCTCTTGCACGCATTTCCCTCTTAGCTGGGAAATTGTGCGTGTGCATTTTTATGTTTTTTTTAAATGGAGAGTGCGGGTCTTTTCAAAAATTTGCGAAATTCTCCATTATACCTTTAAGACCTGAATTAACCTTTCAGTCCAGGTGTTAGAGCTGTGATCGGAGAGCTGAATTTATGAAGAAAATCCCTTAAAATGCTTGCTTTGCGGTCTGACCTGGTGTAACCCAAGACAAAAGCAGATGTTGACACACTCGGATGTCATCATTATATGTACGGTATTCATCATACTGTACAACTCAGGGAGTTCTATGTGTATAAAATGTGAAAGCCATCTTAAATAATAAATTTCAGGATGCCACAGAATTCAAACCTGGTTAATCAACACTATTTACACCCCACAATGTCAAAAACTTACACTGCAAAACCCTTGCAGATATTATGAATAGTCCAAATAGTCCTGGCATTTACTATCTGAGGTGCAAAAACACGCTTCAGCTGTGGAACTTAAATACCAATAGAGTTTCACCAAAGAAAGTGAATTACCTAACAGCTGACACTAACCAATCAAACATTACATCTAAGCGTTAATTTGCAATGAGCATCACTGATAATGTGCTGACGGATGTGGCTTAAGACATTGTGCAACTCTATGTAGTCATGTATAAAAGCAAAGGTCTGTTAGTTCTACAGACGCATGAATGATGCACTTTTGAAACACTGAAGGGGAAAAAGGGAACAGAAAAACAAAAGAAACAAGACAGGAGCAAAAAAAACGTTTGCTCTTTAAGGAAATGAGAACGCCACACCATTAGGGGAAGTTGTCCTGCTTTTGTTTTTGGTACATGGAGAATTTTTTCCTTTTTTTTTTTTCTCCTCCTTTCTCTTGTCTGTGATTAAAACACTAGTTTGATAATTAGTTTGGACCATTTATGTGTCTGTGATGCATTTGCCACTGAGAGCTATTTTTTAAAATTATTTTACTTTAGTTGTTGATCGGAGTTACTATGAAGTACAACATAATAATTTCTGGGGCTGCAACTAATGATTATTTTGCAAATCGATTAATCTGTTGATTATTTTTGTGATGAATCGATTAATATTCAGATAACAAACGTTTTTTTTTTTATGAAATTAAACCAGGTGAAACTACTTGGGGAGTTCCGGATAAAGCATATTGACTGACAAAAACATTTTTTTTATCTTTAATGCAAAATGTTTATATGTGTTTTAACAATTTTTATATAATTGCTGCTCTAAGTGAGTCGCTCTGTCAGCTAAAGGCATGTTGTAGAGTCTCTGCCCTCCAGTTAACGATTAATCTATTTCTAAATGTTAACGATTATTTAAATGATCGATTCATCTGGTTAATTGCTTTCAGCTCTAATAATTAGGGCTGAGTATTTTCACCAAAGTCCTGAATCGATTCGATTTTGATTCATTCAGTTCTAAATCGATTAATTTCGATTCAATCTGTTTTTACAATTATGAAAGTGGTTCAACTGTGTTTCAAAATGCTTGTGTAATTTATTTTTTATCCTGTCATATTAAACACCAAGTGCAAACTTGTAAATCGGACAGTTTAACTTGAGATGTGAACAAAACTGTCTTAAAAGTGCAAACTTGTTTGTGAAAAGTGAAGTGTCCCTTGAGCGAGCAGACGTGACACAGCGGGGACACGGCAGACATGCATGAGTTGCATTATCTTCCCTGCACAAACTATATTTGTATGGACGACCAATCCTGCCATATTTAAAAATAAATACATAAATAAATAAATGCTCCAAAAATAAATAAGCATGCAATAATTGCCCCTCAAAAATACAATACATAAATAAATAAATGTCAATAAATAAATAAATATATTTTGAAATGAAATTATACAGTGAGACATATATATATATTATATTTTTTATTAGCTTCTTTCTTTTTTCGCCTTTGATTCGACCGATGCAGTAAAATACTAACCAACCAATGGGCAGGAGTTAATCCCTTAAGACGCACCCTTCCTTATTTGCATAATGAGGCAGAAATGCATACAGAAATGTAAAAACGACAGTCAGAAATAAGTAGCATGGAAGAAATAAATAGGGTAAAAAAAATACAAAGAAAGAATAATACAGAAAAAACGCAAGTAAATAAATACTTAAAAAAAATAAGTAAAAAATTTATAAAGTTGAAGATTATAACGGACATAAGGTAATTATTAAAAAGGAGAAAAAAATGAAGCTAATTAAAAGAGATATATACATTTATGTCTCACTGTATAATTCAATTTCTACCTACATTTATTTTATTTATTGTATTTTTGAGGGCCAATTATTGCATGTTTATTTATTTTTGGAGCATTTATTTATTTCTGTATTTATTTTTAATTATGGCAGGATTGGTCCTCCATATATTTGCAGCGTTGTCTGTAACAGTTACAGGGTGTTTTCTGGTCAGCCCCCATTTGTTAATGTCTTCAGTCAACCTATTGGCTATATTTGCAGCTGTCTGGCTTGAAGTCATCTTAAAGTGCATCTTTCCTGCTCATTTGAATGTGAACGTCACGCACGTCACNTTTCCCTCTTAGCTGGGAAATTGTGCGTGTGCATTTTTATGTTTTTTTTAAATGGAGAGTGCGGGTCTTTTCAAAAATTTGCGAAATTCTCCATTATACCTTTAAGACCTGAATTAACCTTTCAGTCCAGGTGTTAGAGCTGTGATCGGAGAGCTGAATTTATGAAGAAAATCCCTTAAAATGCTTGCTTTGCGGTCTGACCTGGTGTAACCCAAGACAAAAGCGGATGTTGACACACTCGGATGTCATCATTATATGTACGGTATTCATCATACTGTACAACTCAGGGAGTTCTATGTGTATAAAATGTGAAAGCCATCTTAAATAATAAATTTCAGGATGCCACAGAATTCAAACCTGGTTAATCAACACTATTTACACCCCACAATGTCAAAAACTTACACTGCAAAACCCTTGCAGATATTATGAATAGTCCAAATAGTCCTGGCATTTACTATCTGAGGTGCAAAAACACGCTTCAGCTGTGGAACTTAAATACCAATAGAGTTTCACCAAAGAAAGTGAATTACCTAACAGCTGACACTAACCAATCAAACATTACATCTAAGCGTTAATTTGCAATGAGCATCACTGATAATGTGCTGACGGATGTGGCTTAAGACATTGTGCAACTCTATGTAGTCATGTATAAAAGCAAAGGTCTGTTAGTTCTACAGACGCATGAATGATGCACTTTTACAACACTGAAGGGGAAAAAGGGAACAGAAAAACAAAAGAAACAAGACAGGAGCAAAAAAAACGTTTGCTCTTTAAGGAAATGAGAACGCCACACCATTAGGGGAAGTTGTCCTGCTTTTGTTTTTGGTACATGGAGAATTTTTTCCTTTTTTTTTTTTCTCCTCCTTTCTCTTGTCTGTGATTAAAACAGTAGTTTGATAATTAGTTTGGACCATTTATGTGTCTGTGATGCATTTGCCACTGAGAGCTATTTTTTAAAATTATTTTACTTTAGTTGTTGATCGGAGTTACTATGAAGTACAACATAATAATTTCTAGGGCTGCAACTAATGATAATTTTGCAAATCGATTAATCTGTTGATTATTTTTGTGAGGAATCGATTAATAATCAGATAGCAAAAGGTTTTTTTTTTTTTTTTTTTAATGAAATTAAACCAAGTGAAACTACTTTGGGAGTTCCGGATAAAGCATATTGACTGACCAAAACATTTTTTTTATCTTTAAAGCAAAATGTTTATATGTGTTTTAACAATTTTTATATAATTGCTGCTCTAAGTGAGTCGCTCTGTCAGCTAAAGGCATGTTGTAGAGTCTCTGCCCTCCAGTTAACGATTAATCTATTTCTAAATGTTAACGATTATTTAAATGATCGATTAATCATGGTTAATTGCTTTCAGCTCTAATAATTAGGGCTGGGTATTTTCACCAAAGTCCTGAATCGATTCAATTTTGATTCATTCGGTTCTAAATCGATTAATTTCGATTCAATCTGTTTTTACAATTATGAAAAAGGTTCAACTGTGTTTCAAAATGCTCGTATATTTTATTTTTTTCCTGTCATATTAAACACAAAGTGCAAACTTGTTTGTGAAAAGTGAAGCGTCACTCGAGCGAGCAGACGTGACACAGCGGGGACACGGCAGACATGCATGAGCTGCATTATCTTCCCTGCACAAACTATATTTGCAGCGTTGTCTGTAACAGTTACAGGGTGTTTTCTGGTCAGCCCCCATTTGTTAATGTCTTCAGTCAACCTTTTGGCTATATTTCCAGCTATCTGGCTTGAAGTCATCTTGAGTGCATCTTTCCTGCTCATTTGAATGTGAACATCACACGCGTCACTATAAAACTAATCGATCTCATACCCTAGACATCGATTTTGCAAAAATGTAAAGGAATCTATTCAAAATCGATTAAATTGATTTTTTTTACCCAGCCCTACTAATAAAATCACGAATTAAGAAAAGCTAGCATACTTCCTCACATAGGATTTTACGTTAAGCAGAGAAGTCATTTTATCAGCATGATTGATTTTTAACAAGTTGAAAGAGTGACGATAGTAAATATTAATACCACATATCCATATTTATGCGTCCCTAATTCCCAATATTGTCTCACATGTGAGGCCAATTTATCACAAAGCAGTGTCCAGAAAATGATGAAAGTCATTTTTAGAAGAACAGCAGAGTGAGTCACATTTGCAGTTGTTCTCATGATATGCAAGGAAAAACATTGGGAAGAATGGGATTAGGTTAGAGAAGACGTTGGCTTGTTCTGAACTAACTTTACATCACTTTGATGGATTGTCCATGGTGGTGGACGCATCATGCAGTGGAGATATTTACTTCACTAAAGGCAAGAAAGCTGGACAGAATTAATAAAGATGTAGTTAACCTATCTAAACCCAAATGAGAATCTGTAGCAAGACTTGAACATAGCTGGAAAGATTTTCAATACAGAGATGGAGACGGATAAAAAAAAAAAAACGATTCCTTAAAGTGTTTTCCTTCTATTTTTCTACCACATTAAAATTTTGCTTTATTAAATGTTGTTTTATCACATACGATTCCCAATGTTGTGCATTTAAACACATGGATCAAAGGTGGAAATTCTGAAGGCTGTGAATGCATTTTTGCAATCCGACCATTGGCCTTTTAAACTTATCCTCCGTCTGTTGCAGACGAAGAGTTTATGAGGCTTTTTCTTGGTAACATCATCTATGTCAGCTTTTATGACAGCAGAGGCAGCTGTAAAAGTGCAGGAAGAAGACTGGCTCTGCCTAATCATGTCTCTGCTTACAGTTGATGAAGAAATAAATGAATCATTCATTTAAAGATCGGATTGAACAGACAAAGAAATGTATTTGTTGGTTTCTAGCTGTTAATCTTTGGCATGTTTTCTAGCATGCTGAGGAATTTAGGAGGTTTTTATGATTATTTTGCTTGTTATTTTTTGTAATAACTTAGATTATTTGTTCTTTTTTTTAACTTGTTAAGTATTTTTCCTCTCTTAAATTCCTGTGTCTCTGTAGCAAAGAATATTTTCCGCGTGAGCTCCGTGGATCCGTCCCACGGCCAGACCCACACCCTGCAAGTTGGTGACGTTTACCACAAGCAGCAGTGGCTCAACTGCCTGCGCACTGCAATCACCCAACAGCAGGGGGCTCCAGCTAGGGTCCAGCAGGAAGGGTCCAACCTCCCATCTTCAATCTCCCCAGGAAAGATCTGTAAGGAAGAGACAGACGAGAACCGTCCACCAGCAGCCGCCCCTAAGCTCAGGCGCCAGACGCTCTCCAAAGGCAGACTGGAGCAGAAGTTACAGGGATCACAAAGGAGGAAGGAAACTGGAGTGTAGACGAATCAAATGTTTCCTGTCAGTCAAGTCTGCGTCTCTTCTTATGCTTGTCTTTTTAGCTGCACTGAACACCCCCGTCCAAAATGTGTTTGTTTTTTTTATCCAAATTTAAAAACATGTATTAAGTTTACAAAAAAAAAAGAAAAATCAATCTTTGCCAAATGCCTGTGTTAGTGTTATACCACTGTTTATCGGTTTGACTCTGTGTTTTATGTGTTTAAACTCTGTTATCATGTGTAAAGCTGCCCGCTAAGTGAATCGCTCCAAAATAAAGGGAAGCCAAGATAACATCTGAGCTGTTCACAGGAAGCTACAAGCTGAAAACATTAGCTTTTCTGCAAGGTGTGACTATCTGCATACAATAATATGGTGAACGTTTCTTGGAAAACAGAATGAGATGTGTACATATTAGGAATCTGTGAAAATATGTGACAAAAATAAGTAAAATCTTCCTGCTTGTTACTGTTCGCCCTGCGTTTTATTGGCTCTGAGTTGTTTGCACTGCAACGCGTTCATTATTCAGTTGTACTTCGACCCTTTCAAGCCACTTCCTACTACTGAGGTTGTTTTTTAGATACGGCATAACATTTCTGCACCAACCTGTTTTTTTTTTTCAGCATATAAGGGTAAAAGAGTACCATAATGATATTACGTGAAACATCTTCACATCTTGGAAACCAAGTCCAGTGGATGTTTTTTTACTTTTACGGGATATTTACTCAAATACAGACAAACTTTTCTGTGTTGTGTTTTTAAAAAAAATACCACAAGAAAGTTAATTTCCTCATTTCTATGGTCTGGCAGGCTTGTTCTGAGTATTTTGGCCTGAGAATAGTATGACACAGAATTTTCAAGGGCAACTTAATATACCACAAAAAGATCATTAAAATGAAAATACACAAAAGAGAAACATCTGTTGTGCCTTTTAGATTGAACTGCAAAACCAATCAATGTCCGGTTAAGGAGAGTTTTCCTTGCTTGTCCTTATCTGCTTTACAAATAAAAATTAAATAAGCTTCTTATTTGTTATTGGTGAACAACTAAAAGATAATGCAAACCTAAAAGAAAAGTTTTGCCTGTAAAGACTTCCTCCTCTCACCACCCCACCCCCCACTTCTCAGAGGAAATTAGATAATTCCTGCCAGGGGATTGCTTCATCGCAATGACCAGATACTATCTAAAATTCAGCTTCTATAAAAGAAGCCTCAAAAATGCTATAATTTTAATGCTCTCTTGCTCCTAAATACTTAAGATTTTGCTGAAGTGAGAACTGCTCAACGTATATTATCAGTTGGGCTTTAAATGTTAAAGAAAATTAACAGTCTCACTAAACTCTCTTAAGCTCAGTTGGCCTTATATGGATGTGCTGTTTGCAGGTGACTAGTTAACGGTCGCACCCGTCCCCTCCCCCACGTCACAAACAGCAAGGCGTTGCAGCAGTAAACGATCAGTTTACTGCAGACTTTACAATCATTCAATAAGCTGCTGAAAAAACATTCCTAAATGGGCTATAATAAGTTGGTATCACTGGTTTTCTTTCATTTTTAAACACTGGTTTATATCCTGGTTTGTCAGTTGAGTAATCAATATGTCCTCCATCTATCTGTCTGTGTGATAATAATTAATCTATCATCTATTCATATGCTCATCCATTATCCTAATCCTTTTTCCATCAAATGACTTCAGTTACAATAAATGAGATTAATGAGAAAGATTTTTTACAGATTAATGCTATTTTTCTGGCTTTTTTATTCACAATCGAAGCAATTCTTTTTCTGTAACTGTTTTATGTTCCGTCACGCTGCAGTGCAGCTCAGATGAACGTATAGATTATGGTTGGGTACAGTGTGTACGGTTTGCAGGTCTAAAGTTCGTTTCTGCCTGTCTATAGTTATTCTGTTCTACTGAAAAACCCAGAGGACCAATCCAGGCTCTTTTACAACAGCTTTTTGGAGCTCATGTTTTATCTTTTCTTATTATATTATCTCCTACTTCTGCCAGAAAAGTCTTCCGGTTGGTAAAGGGAAAAAAAATTGATACTTAGCAATTCTAGAAGATGGAACGCAAAAGTACTCAATTACATAAATAAAACAATTATGATATAATAATACATAAATGTTCAATATAACAATGAAATTCTGAAATAAATACATGCAAGTAAAATGAAAAACATTATTTAATTTCCACTTTCCCTAGTAAAATAAGTTATTTATCTAAATCCAGCAGTTTTTATTCAAATATTAAATCTTTAAAAAGTCTTTTATTTCATAATGATGTTTTTACCCATGGCCTTTTTATTTTCTACTATTCATCAGAATGACCAATCAGCGTCAGCAGGTTGGTTCTTCACTCCCATAAAGAAGCACATCAGTGCATGGCATCACATTTCTGCTTGAGTGTCAGAAAAACTGTTCTTATATTCAACTAAATTTAAATACTGATTGTAATATTTTCTCATTTACATTTTCAAGATTTTCTTGTACCAAAATATTTGTTCTAAGGCAACTTCTATGTAAAACCAAACCCTATGGCGGCTAAGAATGAGAACTCTTTTGTGATAAAAGTACTTTCAGATGAATTTTAAATTTATATTATTTCAAACAAGCAAAATATTTAAAGATGAAGCCTTTTTTTTTTTACATGTACATTTGGTTTTCACACAAAAAGATTTAAAAGCAATTCTTACAGACTGATTTTGGTCTTTTTATTTCCACAAACTTCATACAGGTATAACATCTGTACAATTTACATATTTACAAAAAAAAAAAAGAATAGTTACAGAATATGTACAATTACATACAAATATACAGTGCTAATTAATAAATAATAAGCTCCTTTAGAGTCAGTTTATCATTAAAGAATTTGATGAAGCCTCTTACATATATATTGCTGTAAAGATGGCTTCCATGTGACTCTGTACTTTTTATGGTTTCCTAACGATAAGCACAACGTTCATTAGTATGCTTCAGTTTCTATAGAACATTTATGATCGGCAAGCTAGGATAAGGTTAGGATAGCTACGATTTATGAGAGAGGCAGACAGTATTCACCCGACCTGTATGACTAGTGGTGATCTAAAGTTCACGCTGCTTTGATTCAAACTAGTCAGTTCAGTGTAAAGCAGTTCCCAGAAACATGAAAAACCAGATTCTGTTACCGGTAATGGCTTCAAAGAACCCTGCCAGTTGTAACAAGCCTGCAGACCTCTTGCGCAAATTCACACAAATTTCTAAAGAAATGACCTTAACGGGCAAAAAGAAAAAAAGTCCTTGTTGGTGTCGCTGTTATCAAGAGATTCCCTTGTTTTATAGAAATGTGTCAGAGTGTCCAGTCTCTACATGCAGCCTTCCCTCCTTTCTTTGTAAGAAAAACCCTCATGAGAACATGCTTCATAGGTCCGGCTAGTTTTGCAGTCTTGGTTGTTTTGAGTGCAAACTCCCGGCATCCTGCCGTGTTGGATCCTAAACAAACCCTATGAATAGCTTATTTAGATGTCAGAATAAGCTTATTAAATGTGTTTAGATTTCAATAACAAGAGGTTTCATGTAAGAAAGGAATCTTATGATGCTCTTGGGGAAGGACAGCTCAGAAATGACTTGATGCGCACGTGTGCCGAGAGTCCTCCTCAAAGCCACTCTGCTGAGCTGCTGCAGGCTGAGGGGAGTGTCTAAGGAAGGAAAAACAAACACCAGATGTTTGATATTTGCTAAAGCTCTGGGCCATGAAAAGAGCCCTTCTTGTGGGAACACGTACTTTCATAGAACTCGAGGCAGAGATATGAGGGAGATCCCACGCTGGTGTAGTGGATGGGCTTCTTGTTGAGGTTGTCGCGGGCGAAAACATTTCCACCGAATTCAACAAGCAGCTCTATCAGATCCGTGTTCTTAGTTTTAGCTGCATGATGAAGAGCCGTCTCATGGAGCTTGGAGGCGTTCACATTGGCCCCTTAGAATAATGACATTCAGTTATATGACTATTTTTCTCTGAGACATTTAGGTTTGTATACGTACAGAGCTTAACAGAAGTAGTCACACCAGTTAACTGTAACATTATACCACAAACCTCAACATATTTTACTGGGAGTTTATCTTATAGATGGTTTATGTGCATTAGTAAACAAGACAATGAGACAAGTTAAAGATGTGGAGATGTTTAAAGCAGGCAATCTGGAAGGCAATCTATGTCCTGGGATACTCCTTGAACACAGTGGAGCAAGTGGGAGAAAGAGCTCCTTCTGTCACGTTATGCTGAGGTGGTTTCTTGCAGATTTAATAACCAAAAGGAGGCAACTGAAGCAAAACTTCAAAAATAACAAAATAGAGAAAACCAGAAGACGTCAGGGAAAACACACAAAGATCAAGAAACAACTAGAAACCAGCAAACAGTAACTGAAGAGGAGGAGTATAAATATATGCTCAACAGAACAAATACCCCATTGACTCTACCCTTGAAAAACCGTCCCGAGGCCGGTCGGAGCTCAGTAACTGAGATAACTTATCGTGTGTAAATGGAAAGCAAACTGAACTGAACCGAGCTAGACACAACCAAACCAAGCTAACTGCAAACCAGTTCCAGAGGTGGGCTCGGCTCGGTTTTTCCCTGGCTCGGTTCTCTGATAACAAGAGCGCATGAGCAGAACGCGTCATCTCCGTCTGGCTGCACATCCCGATTCACACTCCATTCCAGTAGTTGGCGGTAATGCCCCTTCAGAAACAGAAGAAGAAGAACAACTTCTTCTTCAACTATAAAAAACAATTGAAATCTTCCCCACGCAACATTTTAAATAAAGGCATTTTAAACAATAACACCGAAGTACAGCAATAATAATCAAGCAAACTTGATTACGTGCGCCGCCATTTTGATTTGCTTGAATTCCTCCTTCTTCGTCTTCTTCTTCTTGTGTTTTATGGCGGTTGGCAAACAACTTTTGGTGCATTACCGCCACCAGCTGCTTGATTTCCTCCTTCAATACTGGCAGTATTTCGAGGAACCGAAATAGCGTGATGTGTAAACGGTCGTCAGAACCGAGCTTGGCCTGGTTAACTGATCCGAGCTCGAAACGGTCTCGGCATGGATCGGTTTTTCAAGGGTAGTGTAAATGGGGTAAAAGACTGGGGTGATCAACTAATTGGGAGCAGGTGTGGACAGAAGAATCTAGAAGGGAGCTAGGGGAAGGAGACTGACACAAGAGGGCCACAGAAGATAAACAAGAAATATATAAGAACTCAAATACAACCAAAAACTACACAAAATGAAATGAAACCAATGAAAACTGAAAAAGAAAACTTAAACAGAACCAACAAGTGCAAAATTGTGACAACTTCAGCGAAAATCTGCTGCACCATAGGTGCACGAAGGAGCACCATCACAGATCCTTCTTTTGAGCTTCTGTTAGATTTTATAATCTTCAATTTACCAACCATCTTTAGGTGTCTGAGTGTTTTTCTACATGCAGGATGTTTTTACTTCTTTTTTTTTTATTGTATTTGTAAATGTTCTGCTATTTTGCCTTTTAATCTTGAAATTTTTCATAATTTGAAAAATTGCATTTTCTGTATATGTGCAGTGTTTTTTTTTACTTCCCTGTACAGTTTATTCTGAACATTTTGTGGAGATTTTTGTTCTTTTTCATATTTCTATATGTCTTTTGTGTTTTCTTATGTTGCCTATTTGCTTTTCCGCTCAGGTACACCATGAAACAAAAAATTGTATTTCTTTTCATCTATTTCACAAATCAAGCTTTTATCAACAAAAAAAAACAAAAGAACAGAACACACTCAAGTCTTCAAAGAGGCAAAGTTACCTTCTAGCAAAACAACTTTAAAGTTACCATCAGATGTTCAACAGAAAGAGCTGAAAGCATATTCAATTGTCAGAATGCCTCAAAGTACAGAGATCTAAAGATGAAAAGTTAAAAAAAGCATTGATTCACAGGGACTGAATTCATCTGCACTCAAAACTTTTCATACTATTACTTTTATCCTTTATCCTCTTCTGTAAACTGCAAACTCATGTACTGATAGGTTGGTCACATAAACCCCCCCAAAAAATATGCTGAAGTCTGTGGTAACGCTGTAGCAAAATAGCAAACAAATAAATAAAAATGACAGCAAAGATGAATTGAATGCAGAGGTGTGAAGGAGGAGGCTCACTCACCTGCCATGAGGAGCACTTTGGCGCAGTCAAAGTGCTGCCTGGCACAGGCTACATGAAGCGGCGTTCCATAGTGACAGTCATGAGCCTCCATGAAGGCTCCTCGATCAATCATCAGCTGAACACAGTCTGAGTTACCTGATAGGAAAGACGAGGTGTCATTACTATACAGGGCATCCTGAACAGTGGAGCACCAACTGACATCTAAACATCGAAACAAGAAGGCCCCAACCGCCCAATGATGATATCTGGCCTTTTTCTTTAGTGACATAAATAAATACTAATGAAAGTTTTAAGGATTCTTTTACTGCCTACCTTTTATCCTCCTATTCATAAGGGAAGGTTCAGTCAATCAGATTGGTTTGTAGTGGTTCTCATTAGCGTTGCACCAATACCAGTATTGGGCGGGGCCCCGATCCAGTATTACAATGGTGGTATGGGTAAGTACCAAGAAATAGGACACCTATACCATTTTGAAAGCCAAAAGTTTATTCAACTATTGTCACCCAATCCAGGTAGGCAATAAAAAGTTCTACTGGATTCACTTTGTATTAGTCTTTTCCCTGTTTTACAAAGGTAGGCAGCAGCTTGACAAAGCCATGATGGTAATTATTTTACATCCAAGTAAATCCATTTCAAACAGATGGTATCGGTATCGGCCAATATTGCACAGCCAGGTATCGGAGCCAAAAAATGGCAACGGTGCAACACTAGTTCTCATTGCCTTTAACTTATCAAATATTACTAAAATGATAATAGTGGGCAAGTTTAAGATAGAAGTCCCTTTCTTGAGATAATTTCCTGGCTAATAAAGATGAACAATCAAAGTTTAAGCCTTAAAAATACAGTGTGTTCTCTTGTCTCTCCGATTTTTGGTGACTAACAAGAAAAAGCCTCAGAATTACATAATATTTCCACCCTAGAGAAACAAAAGCCTGTTGACTATGTAATGTAAAAATCCTATATATAGATAAAGTACAGCAGAAGGGGACATTTTAAGATGTGTTTAAGTATTAAGTTCCATTTAATCAGTCTACTTAGGAAACCCTGTCTGAAGTCAACGTCACACCCTTAAACTTCTTGGGAGTATTGTCAAAGAAAGCCCCAGGAAATTTGAGCATGATAATCTATCTAGAGATTGTATAACCTTGCTGACAGGCAAAGCTGTTTGCATAACCCCGTACCTCCCATGCAAGCCTCATGAAGCGGAGAGAAAGTGAACAGAGGAGGATTGACGGTTGCTCCGTATTCCAACAGTAGTTTGACACAATCCAAGCTACCGGCCGCACAGGCGTCACACAGCGGGGTGCTTCCATCAATGTTTCTAGCATCCACCTGTAGGACGGCACCACAGTTGTATGTAAACACGTTAGAAAAGCCTATTTCTAAATCCACCTGTTAAGACATTGAGGCCACCTCACCTGTGCACCGGCGTCCAGAAGCAGCCTGACACACTGGGTCTGACCCTGAATGCACGCCTCATGCAGCGGGGTGATGGAGTCCACGGCCACAATGTTTACGGCCGCACCCGCCTCAATCAGCTGCTGCAGCTGTAGGGCTCGGCCCTGAGCGGCAGCTTCGTGCACGGCTGACCGGTCTGTCCAGAACCCGAGGCCATGAGCTGCAGACACAAAAGGCAGATCAAATCTGAGCACTTGGGTTCATGATGCCTGAGCTGTGGTGCAGAAATCAGCCTTTAGCTGTCTACGGTGATATTTTCAAATATCCATAAAATTCTCCTTCATACCTACTGCTACTTAAAAAAAGAAAAATAAGTTTGTCTCTCAATGTGGTTTACAGATATTACACATTCATGCTATATCAAGCATGCTCCAGTATGACTTTTTAGACTTAGACCAGTGGTGTCAAACTGGTTCCAGAAAGGGCCGTGTGGCTGCAGGTTTTCTTACCAACCAAACAATCGCACACCAGACTCCATTCATCTCATCTAGTGAGTCCAATCTGAACATGATGACTTGATGAGATGAATGGAGTCTGGTGTGCGATTGTTTGGTTGGAAAGAAAACCTGCAGCCACACGGCCCTTTCTGGAACCAGTTTGACACCACTGACTTAGACTTAAGGGCAGATTAGACTTCTGTAACTGCACACATAAAATGTGGCTTGGGTCTGGTCACAAACCAGTTTTGCTGGTATGCTTCTGCACCGTCGGTCTGGAATTTCTAGGGACGCACAGCAGTTTCCCGCCAAAGCGCAAGGGAGAGCCTATTCGAGAACTCTCGAGAAATTCGGCGGATGGTCACAAGAAAGTTTTGGCAGAGACCTTGAGATCTGCCAGAGATTTATATAGAATTTGTCTGAGGCATCGTACAAGTGGTTATACTTCCGAACGTCCTCAATTAACCTTTCGTCATAGTTATCCATAGTAATTGTTCCTTGGCTTTTAAAAACATTAAAAAAACGGCGCGCTCCGGCAACGAATCGAGAAGGACGACCACACAGACAGCCAAAAAGGCATACCAAGGACCATTCACAGCTGCTTTTTGTAGACGCACTTCCTCTTTAGGTTTCCGCAGGTTTGCGACCATCCGTCATGTAATCAGGATTTTTTTGAAGTGACAGATTTGACGATTGCAGAGGCTACGCGTCAGAAGCATAAATTGGCCTTTAGAATACTTTGTCATTTTGTTTACACAGAGTTTATACAAAATTAAATTTCGTTTTGAACAGCTCTCATGGCATTTACATTTTTTAAAGTGCTGCACTGCTCAAATGTTAACCGGGTGCGAGAAAAAACATGGTGCCAAAATAAAACTGCATTGAGTTATAAATGTTCAGAGCAATAAATATCTATGGTGCCATTATGCAGTGTTTTGGTTTGGTGTTAAGAGTTTGATGCAGAATCCGTGACATGAGTTTTTTCAACAGTTCGGCTGTCTGATGATGGTGGGGAAGAAGCTGTTTCAGAATTTTTATTTTGTATGAAGAGTTTGTTGCTGAAATGCACATGCTTCAAGAAAAATACCCAATGGGGCTTAAAAAAGTCAATATGTTGTTTCTGCAACAGTGGGACAGAAAACTGTTTTATTGGTCTGGCATTAATGAAAAAAACAAAGAGTGTGCATAAAGGCCTAATGATCCAAACAGTGAACTTTAGGTCCCTCATTAAAGCGCTGCACAAGCATAGAGATAAAAACAAACTTGAACTACCCTCCAGCCTTGAACGTCACATTTCCAGCAGGTTATACTCAATTATTTCTTTATCTAACATGGCTCATTTATTGCCATTTTATGCTACATTAAGGTCTCCCCTTTTGAGTAGTTTGCTGCAACTCATGCAACAGTAATGCAGGCAAGAAAGTATATAAATATATATATTTCAGAAACATTTGCCTTTTAAGGCTAGCCATTAGCACAGCTCATACACGCAGAATGTAATCACAAAACAATTATTTACTTCACTTATGGAAAATATTTTCCCTTCAGTGGAACTAAATGGCGCAATAAATGAGTCAAGAATTGAGTCATTGGTTTAATATACACTTTACGCGTGTTGTGGCGTGTTGAGTAATTCATCTTTTTGTTTCTTTTATCCATCTTTTAATTTGTGGACCTCAATACAGTTCTGCTTTATAAAAAGGAAAATGATTTTTAACAGTAGTTTAGCAACAGATTGCTTGATAGAAGCTGCAAGACAAATGATAAAGATTAAAGGTCTAGGTTTATCCTTCGATGCCACTTCAGAACCCTCCACTCTTTGCTGTACAGCTGTCCTGGCTCCCTGCATCCGCCGGACAACAATTTTACTGGTTATCATTTATATATTTAAATGTATGCATCTTAGTTATCCTGACCATTCAAAAAACAATAAGTGATTTGATTTAGCTCCTTATATAATCTTAGACAGGCAATTCAAAAGTCTTTTCTTGTTTTTAGACTCGGTAAGCAGATGTTTTATTTAAATATTGAGCTCTATAAACTCTGTTCGTGTGTTCAAAAAGACACTTCTTCGATATCTTTAAATATGTGCGACTTTTTTTGATTCTCCTTTGTGTAATACATGTTTTCAGATTATGTTAATGTCGAACAGTCTTTATTAAAAAATGTTGCAGAAATATTGGTATTTCTATAAGTTTTCACTTTTCATGTGTTATATAAAATGAAATTGTCTTGTTTATTTGTCTGGTTTGGGGATCACAGTTGTTGTTTTTTTTGTTTAAAGAGCTCACTTAAAGGTGTCGTGGAGGATTTTTTTTTTCCGGGTGGATCATCAAAATAAGTGGTCCTCCTTATTGTCAATCATTCAGGTTATATGTTTTCGTAAGGCCGTCCTACATGCTCGTTCCCAGTTCCCTCGTTCCAAACTTATATATTTTTTGTATTATTTACAGACTTTATTAATAGGTTAATTGTTGAATTTTGTGTATTTATTTTTTGTTGTTTTATAATTTTTTCTTTCTTTATTATGTAAAACAGGAAGAAATGTGGGCGGTCCACTTTCTATAAATGTAGGAGCCTGGTAAGGACCAGCAGGCATTTGGGTTAGGGGCCTATGGGTTTTTAATTTTACCAGTGCAAGAGAGGTGACAGAGCTAGGGAATGTTTGAACTCTGTAATGTTGCAAAAAATATAGGAAATAAATCAACTGAACATCTACAAGTTTGGACTTCAACTTCTTTTTCCTGTGTCAAGAATGAAGAATGAAGAATATGTAAAAAGCATAAACATTTTTACATTGTTTATGTACATTGTCTCACAAAAGTCCTAAAAATTTTTTTTACAGATGTGTATTAGTGTTCTTTAGTGAGTTAAAGAAAGAAATAAGTAGTTTTAGTACCATAATTCCATTGTTTATGAACACTCCTGGATGTATATCTATTCGTGCATGCGCAGAACAAATGGTGTAACGACACAACACTATCTGGGTGGGCCCCATATCAAGTACAACACCCTCTAACAATCCTCTTAAAACCAACCGAAAACAAGTTGAACGAACCGAACAAAAAAAGCCAAAATTCAAAAAGAACCGGAACCCATTAAAAAAAAAAACAAAAAAAGAAAAAGGGGTGGAACGAAACGGTAAGGGTTCAAACCAAGCCCCGCAATGCCAAATAATCCAAAGAAGAATGGAAAAAATAAAATACTCAAATACATCGTACTTTTAAGATCTTTATTGCGGTGTGAAACATAATAGAGGAGTGTATTTTTAACCAACCGTCTAATGAACTATACACAGTTATTAACGTAGTAATTAAAAGTACCACTGTCTGCTTTGCTATTTGCATGTTGAAGTCTGCCATGTGTTGGGGTATAAATAAGGTCCGGTCAGTCAAACTAGTATCAAGTGGGTTTAAGAGGAATTTTTCGCACCATTACATCTGCAAAGAGACGTCCTAGTCCACAATTGCGTAGGGGGCCTACCGGGCGTCAATGACCAGGCCCCTAAGAGCTCGGGGGTCCGTAAAGCAACTGCATACTCTGCTTACAGATAGTTATGCCATTGCGCAGAACGGAAGATGCTTCCAGGACGGATGCGATACAGTTTGTCCGAGTGGAGTTGCCATATGATGATGTCATAAGAAAGGGCAGGGCCCCCAGCAGATCTGGCACCTACACAGCCCTGAGCAACTGCCCCTATGAATCATTACAAACACTGCCACAGGTTATGACTCATCAAAGTATTAAAGCATCTTAATGGCTAAATAAAGCACAAGATGCAAACTTTACATTTTAGAAACATATGAAACTGACTCAGAGGTGATCAAAAACTTACTTAATACTGTGCATCTGTTTAGTGTGGCAGTAAGCCATGATACTTCACCTAATTGTGATAGTAATAAATGTAATATTACACCTCAGATCAATTTGATGCAATATGTGCTGCAGGATTCATACGCCAATATAATGTTGTGGTTTTGGAGCACAAATCGCTCTGTTCTCCTGAATAACGAGCTTAAAGCCTTGGTTCACCATGCTCACCACTATCACCACTTTCACTAACCACGCTGTTTCTCCTCAGGCTACATTTCCAGCCTAAATCAAGCATAAAAAACTAACATTTAACGTTAACTGCCAAGCTCACCTTGTCATTAGCCGAATCTTTTTATAAACTGGTATCTCAGGTTAGTCACACACTGTAAGCTACTTACCGATTTCTCCATACAGCGACGGTCTGGCCCGAGTTATCTCCATTTCATCTTCCCGTTCTCCTGCTTTCGGCTGTCGGTGTAGAATCAGCCGATGGTGCGCCTCATTTTGAAGGAAAGAATTAAAAAATCCTGTAAACGCTGCATTATTAGAAATTACAGCCGAGCAGGGTGCCGTTCAGACTGAGCATGCGCAGTGCAAGCTAGAGGAATGCCGGGGGATTCTGGGAAATGTAGTCAGGAGGAGCAGCGATTGAGAAGTTACATAAACAGGAAGCGTCTTGCAAAAATCTTGATATATGTTCTTAGTGTTTGTAGTTGTTGTTTGTTTGCTGATAAATTTTGAAATAAATTAAAGAGACGTCATTTTGGTCAAAGTGACCAATTTGCCCTTTTACCAATACAGATTGGTTAAAAACACAACAGAATTAGATTGATTGTTTTACCAAAGGGATGGTTGGACATATAACTACCAACCCAATTGGTAAAATTCAGTACATTTTTTGGTTGTACTGACCAACCTGTTTTATAAGGTCTACCTAACCGCTAAACTATGGTTATCTGTAGGCACCAGGTATGTTTGAAGTAAATCCTACAATTTTATATCTGAAAAGTACAAATGATGGAAAGTGCTACGGGGAAAGGGTTATGAGCAATCATTAGAAAATGGAAGAAGCTAAACATGACTCTCAATCTCCATCTGACTGAGGCTGCATGCAAGAACTTACCTCAATGGGTCTCAATGATCCTCAGAAAGGTAAGAAATCAACCCAGGACTACACAGGAGGAGTGGATCAATTACCTGAAAAGAGCTGGGACCACCGTTTCCAAGGTTACTGATGGTAATACACTAAGATGTCATGGTGTAAAATAATGCATGGCACGGAAGGTTACCCTACTTAAACCAGTACATGTCAAGGCCAATCAGAAGTTTGCAAATGACCATTTGGATCATCCAGAGGAGTCATGAGAGAAAGTCATGTGGGCAGATGAGACCAAAATAGAACTTTTTGGTCATAATTCCACAAACCATGTTTGGAGGAGGAAGAATGATAAGTATAATTCCAAGAAAACCATCCCTAATGTGAAGCACATGGGTGGTAGCATCATGCTTTGGGGGTGTTTTCTGCACATGGGACAGGGTGACTGCACTGTATTGAGGATAGGATGACTGGTCCCACGTATTGCCATTGTGGGAAACAACCTCCAGTGACGAAGATGGGTCGAGGCTGGATGTTCCAACATGTCAATGACCAGAAGCAAACAGCCAGGATAACAAAGGAGTGGCTCAGTAAGAAGCATATCAAGGTTCTGGTGTGGCCTAGCCAGTCTTCAGACCTAAACCCAATAGAGAAACTTTGGAGGGAGCTCAAACTCAGCGACAGCCCAAAAACCTGACTGATCTAGATGAGATCTGTGTGGATGAGTGGGCCAAAATCACTGCTGCAGTGTACGCAAGTTTGGTGAAAGACTACAGGAAACATTTGATTGCAAACAAAGGCTACTGTACCAAATATTAACATTGATTTGCTCAGGTGTTCAAATACTTATTCAGTTGTATCATACAAATACATTGTTACAAAACTATATATTGGGATTTTCTCTCATAGTGGACATGCACCAACAATGGCAATTTCAGACCCCTCCATGATATCTAAGCAGGGTGTTCAAATTCTTATTTTCCTTCCTGTAAAATCCTGCCTCTTTCTGGTACAATAGAAGACCAAAAAAAAAAAAAAATGATTTACATTCATCACTATGAGAAACTAAATATCATTAAGGAAAACCAGATCTAAGTTGGTCAAGTCAACCTTTTACAGAATCTCACTTCCTTGTTTAAAAAAAAAAAGTAATTAATCTCTGTGGTCGGAAATAAAAAAAGTATTTCCTGTGTTGGCATGGGGGGTTTACCCAAATGCAAAGACAGAATATAGATATATGGGAAGTAGAGAGGCCATGGGTGCTGTGAAGGTTGCTTGGTTTGGGGTTAGCTTGCCACGTCTGGTTTGTAGTAGAAACCAAAAGCACATCCATGTGTGTTTTTAATTTAAAGTTTACACCTCTGTTCTATTAGTTTCTGAATTATTTCTTAGTGCATTCCTTTTGTTCATTACATTTTCATTTTAGTTTTCCTGTCCATCCTGTCTTCACTGTTAATTTTTTCTCCCCTCCACCTGAAGCAGCACTCTACTAGTTGCACCTGCAACTCCTCATTATACCTATTTTCTGCACCTGTTTATTCTCTATTCATGCCTTCAGTTTGTCTTTGTCTTTCACTAGGCCCTTTTGTTGCTCACTGCTGGTTAGATCAGCTCTCTAACCACTTTTGTTTGCCTCATCTTACCCTGACAGTTTAAATTACTTCATTAAAACTGCTTCTATTCTACATGCCCCCCCGGGCGGTTTTTTTTTTTTCCTTTTTTTTTTTCCCTGTATTTTGGTCCAGAAGTTCAACTTTATGACAAAAATATTCAAGGACAAAATTAATAAAACTGAGAATATCATGAGAAGAACAGGAAATGGACAGAGGTAGGGGTAAAATACGAAGCAAACAGTCATAGCAATGGAAGGATCCAGAACAGAACAATGAGAACAAGAAACCTTGGGTTTAAACATTGAGGAAGTTGGAGAACAGCTGAGGATCTAAAAGTGGGATAGTAAAAAAACACAAGGAAGCTGACTAAAGAAACAAAGCAAAAAAATAGACCCAGGGGAAAAATCTGACAGAGAACATTGATTGATTGATTGATTGATTGATTGATTGATTGACTGACTTTATTGATCTCACAGTGGAGAAATTTACCCATTACATCAGCTCAAATAGTCAAAGGGAAAGAAGAATGTGCTAAGGGAAGAAAAAGGTGCATGGGATATACAGTACATACAGAGCGTCCACATATGACAGTTTTTTGTTTTTTTTCTTCTTTTTTTAGCAGGATTACTACTATTACATGGGTATTTATAAAGATGGATATTTATACATATAGCTATTGCAGTGGGTTTCAAATATAAAAAAACTGTTTAAATACATAACTTATTCTAAATGAGCATGTTATTCCAAGTGAGCCAAAAACATGAGAAAAGACCATCAAACAAATTATAGATCACACATACAACATGGAAATTATATAAAAAAAAAAAAAAACAGAAATTGAAATCACAAACTCCAAAGCATCACAGCATGTGAGCTATTGAGATTAAACATTTAATAGGGCTTGGTCGTCATGACGTAATTACTTTGCGTGGCCGCCATGTTGATGGCCTCCTTTACAGCTGCTCAGACTACTGCCCTTGACTACCGCATACTGTACTCCCTCTCAGCCGTGTTTTAATTAGATTAATTTCACCTTAACTTGATTTCAACCATGGTAAACCGTTGCTGTTTTGTGGGCTGTAACAGCGCAACACATGATTGCCATGGGAACAACATAGAAAATGGGTTCACTTTCCACCGCTTTCCTGCCTGGAGG